TCTCTCTCTCTCTCTCTCTCTCTCTCTCTCTCTCTCTCTCTCTCTCACTCACTTCCCACAGCTAGTTAGTACTCCTGTGGGCCTTGGGGACCAGGAATAGAATAGGCGGATGTTGATTGATCCTGCGATCTGACTTTTCGCTACAGGTCTTGATGTTGATCAAGTTCTATGCTTTCTTCTCTCCGATCGAGTCAGTCGTCAGTCGTCTACGTAATGTATCCCCTTGTTTACTATGCCTTCCATTTGCACAAAAAAGCTCCACCAGGCCTCTCTCTTTCTTACCCCCATGCACAATTCCCTGGCAGAGCTGTAGATGTACGTACGTGCTCGTTTGCCCGCATTTCAGAGCCAGAATAGGATGTCAGTCTCGCTGATGCGATGTGATGTGCAGTTTGGCGATTGATGAAGGGCGGGAGTGCATGCCTGTCCCGCATTTCTGCGACCGTCCAAGACTCCAGAAGGGCCGGAGCGCACCCAGTTCCGGCGTTTCTGCTACTTCCGGAGACTCCAAGACGCAGCAGCTCAACGCAAAAAAAAAATCCCAGGAAAACCGTATCAAGGTCTTCCCGTGCCATATCGGTGGCATCATAAGATGGCGATCTTGGAGATGGATGTCAAGTCTGCTGATGAGCAAATGTCGAGCGGCGAGTTATGGAGATGTGTCTGAGCCATTTACTTTGTTGCATGGGTATAGCAAGTGCGAGTGTCGATTGTCGAATAACAATAAATGTGTCGTTGAGTGGGATGTCGTTGCTTCGTGCTGTACTGCACGAAGCGCTTCCCATCCCACGGCTGTGTTGCGAATGCTGGATATGCATGCCATTTGCGTTGATGACAACGGCAAACACCACCGCCAGAAAGTTAGTTTGGCTGTGCAGTTGAAAGCATGCAAAATTGCAAATCATGCAAATGTTGGATTATGTGGATGGAAAAGGAAAAAGGTCGTCACGAGAAGAACAAGCTAGTTTGGCTGTACGGGCGATCCGGTGGCAAGCATAGGAAAGCGAAAGCGCCAAGTCCCGTTCGAACGGTGGCTTATGGAATAATAACGTGGTGGTGGGCATCAGGCAGCCAGGCTCTTGGGTGTTTCGATGTGTACTCTTTTGCTTGTCAGAAGTGGGGGGTTATGGTGTCTTTATCAATGGCTCATAAAAGAATGTTTCAAATCATGCAAATGTTGGATTATGTGGATGGAAAAGGAAAAGGGTCTTCACGAGAAGAAGCTATAGTTTGACCGTACGGCCCATCCGGTGGCGAGCATAGGAAAGCGAAAGCGCCAGCCACGGTTTGACTGGTGGCTTATGGAATAATAACGTGGTGGCGGGCATCAGGCAGCCAGGCTCTTGGGTGTTCCGATGTTTACTCTCTTCTTGTCAGAAGTGGGTTTTTTATGATGTCTTTATCGATGGCTCGTAAAAGAATATGCTTCAAAGCATGCAAATGTTGGATTATGTGGAGGGAAAAGGAAAAAAGGCCCCATCCGGTTGCAAGCATAGGAGAACGAAACCGCCGAAGTAGTACTCTAATTTTCTTGTCAGAACCGTTTTTTTTTTTTTTTTTTTTTAATGGGGTCCTTGTCGAAATGTTGGATTATGTGGAGCGAAAAGGAAAAAGGCCCCATCTGGTTGCGAGCATAGGAAACTGAAAGCGCCGAAGTACTCTTTTCTTGTCAGAAGGGTTTTTTTTATGGTGTCTTCATTGACGGCTTATAAAAGATGCTTCAAACTTCAAAGCATGGAAATGTAGGATTGTGGAAAGAAAAGTTTAAAGGCCATCACGAGAAGCTCGTTTGGCTGTACGGCGCATTCAGTTGCAAGCATAGGAAATCGAAAGCGCGAAGCCCTGTTCGACTGGTGGCTTATGAAATAATATCGTGGTGGCGGGCATCAGGCAGCCAGGTTCTTGGTGTTTCAATGTGTAGTCTTTTTTGTCGGAAGTGTGTGTTTATGGTGTCTTTATCGGTGGCTCGTGCAAGATGCTTGCTTCCCGGCGGACGGCGAGGTGAGTTCGAACGGACAGTGGTCGTTATAGGAGTCGGAAACCAAGACATGGAGTTTGGCGCTGGTGGTTGTATGTCAAGTTGCATCATAGATTCATAAGTTCTTTGGGAAAATTTAACCGCCATCATTCATTAGACCGAAAATAAGATGTCATGTCGACAAGTCTTAACGGCAGTATGGGAGAACCCAATAGAGTAAAATTTCTGAAATTTCAATAGAGTGAAATTTCAAAATTTTTGCCGCCTTGTTCATCTGATTACAATGAATGAATGTCATTGTATGGGCGTTATTGCGGCATTTAGAATGAACGAATGGACCCGTGGCAGCGATGCTGTGGCAAAGGGGCGGGGAGGGGGGGCCCAGGGGGGAGGGGGAGGGAAGAGGGGAAAGGAGAAAGAGCGTGAATGTGGAGTCGGAGAAGCGAGGGCGGTCCGTGCGCTCTTTGTTCGGCAGCACGTGAAGTTCTGCTATGATAGGAGGCGGGTGCGGAAGAAAAACAGAAAAGCGGACACAAAACAAGAACAACAAAAAGGAGTGTAAGAGAGCAGGGCATCTTCGGGGCAGCTTCGTTAACAGGTCTGTATTGGCCTCATCTTTGAAAAGAAAAGAAGAGAAAAAATGGGCATCTTTGGGGCACTTCTGTTAATAGATCTGTACTGGGCTTATCTTTTGAAAAAAGAAAAAAAAAGGGCATCTTTGGGGGATAATGAGGATGGGAGAAATGGCGAGATCACAAAAATGGAGAGAGAGGAATGGGAGAATGGAGAGAGAGGAATGGGAGAATGGAGATAAGGGGGTGGGTGTGAGCCTAGTTGCTGCTAGTGTCCAAGCACAGAAAAAGGGGGAAAAAAAAGGCGGGGATGTTCAGAATCAGAGTTTGATTTGCAAAATTTGCCTGCTTATATATA